TCTTCGATCCGACGTGGTACACCGAGAATTTGCCACTGACCTATGGGATTATCTCAAACGCAGATTTGAGAAAACAACAGCCCCTCGACTCCTCAAGATCCGAAGCGAGCTGGCCAATTGCAAGCAGAACGGAATGACGATTCCATCGTATTTTGGAAAGCTCACTAAGCTCTGGAATGATCTGGCCAACTTTCGATCATTGAAGGTTTGTCGTTGTGGAAGGTGCACATGCGACATTGCAACTGTACTCGAGAAAGAAAGAAATGAAGATCGACTGTTTGAATTTCTCATTGGTCTGGATGAACCGAGATTCAACATGGTGAGATCCAATCTTCTTTCTCGACTTCCTCTCCCAACTCTCGAAGAGGCGTACAACACAGTGATTCAAGAGGAAGATACTCACCGAATCTCGTTTTCATCTGACGAGAAAGCAGAGGTAATGGCATACTCTGTACGAACCGATTCGAAACCCAAACCGAAAATGGCTGAGCGCGTTCCAACTAACAGAGACGCAACCACAGTCTGTTCCAACTGCGGGCGAAATGGATATGCTGCTGAAAGCTGTTTCAAATTGATTGGTTTCCTAGAATGGTGGGGGGACAGACCCCGTAATCGCGCCGGCCGAGGAAGGGGAATCTCTGTTCCCTCAAACCCAGGAGTTCGAAACCGAATGCCTGTGGCTCGTGCAAATTCTGCTCAGGTAACCCCGAATGATGTTGTATCTGCTTCCTCTGTTGCAGTTCATTCAGCAGACAGAGACATTCTCGCCGGCATAACAGAGGCTCAGTGGAAGACTTTAATGAATCTCCTCAACGGCAACAAATCGGATTCCCCCGAAACTGTCTGGTATGCCTTCTATCATCTCTTGGATTTTAGATACTGGTTGTTCTCAGCATATGACGGGAATTAGATTTGGTTGCATGATCCCTCTCCGATCTCGCCTTGCTCAGTTGTTCTTCTGGATGGTCGACAAGTTTTGTCTGTTGAATCGGGTTCTGTTTATCTTGGAAATCACCTCAGAATGACGAATGTGCTATACGTTCCTGGTCTACATACCAACTTAATCTCTGTTTCGCAACTCCTGGCTGAATCTGATTCTTATGTGACATTTGCCCGAACCTTCTGTCTCATCCAGGACCGCACTACCAAGACGCCGATTGGAGCGGGTGAGTTGAAAGCGGGGCTTTATCATTATTAGAAGTGCAGCGAATTTAGCAGTGACGCGAGTAACAGATTCTCATTCGTTTGACGTGTGGCACAAACGTATGGGACATCCTTCATCAACCGTTCTTGCGAAGATTCGAAGTTTTGATTTTGCAGATGATAGTTATTTTGCTAATAAGCAATGCGATGTATGCTTGCGTGTGAAACAAACAAGGCATTGATTATGATGAAACATTCGCTCCGGTTGCGAAGTTGGTTACAGTAAGAACATTTCTTGTTGTAGCGTCGGCTCGTCGATGGGACGTTCATCAAATGGATGTCCACAACGCATTTCTACATGGAGACCTTGAAGACGAGGTCTATATGAAACCCCCACCCGTTTTTCTTCGGAAAATCCTCACTTAATCTATCGATTGAGGAAATCTTTATACGGATTAAAACAAGCTCCGAGATGTTGGTTTGCTAAGCTTGGTTCTGCTCTTCGCTTATATGGCTTTGTTCAGACACAATCGGACCATTCTATTTTTGTGTTTGACAAAGGAGGCACACGGATACATGTCTTGATTTATGTGGACGATCTTCTTGTTACGGGAAACTCACCAACATCAGTCAAGGAATTCAAAACCTACCTCGACACATGTTTTCACATGAAAGATCTTGGCCCCCTGAAGTATTTTCTCGGCATAGAGGTTGCTCGCAATCCCTCGGGCATTTATCTATGCCAACGGAAATACACATTAGATATCCTCACTGAGACAGGTCTCTTGGGTGCTAAGCCGGCTTCATTCCCGCTCGACCAAAATCACAGACTTGGATTGTCTACTAGCGAACCTCTGCGGGATCCAGAGCCATATCGACGACTTGTGGGCAGGTTGTTATACTTAGTCGCAACCCGACCTGATATCACTTATGCGGTCCATGTGCTATCTCAATTCATGCAAGAACCACGCCTTGATCACTAGGAAGCGGCTCTCCGAGTTGTGCGATATCTGAAACTTCGGCCAGGGCAAGGTATTTTACTCCGCTCGGACTCTGATCTACGTTTATACAGTTGATGTGATTCTGATTGGGCAGGCTGTCCTACCACCCGAAAATCGTTGTCTGGCTGGATTATTCAACTCGGGCAATCGCCGATATCATGGAAGTCGAAGAAGCAGCACATCATCTCTCTCTCCTCTGCGGAAGCTGAGTACCGGGCGTTGTCTGTCACCACATGTGAGTTGTTGTGGCTAAAGGGATTGCTTCATTCTCTCGGTGTCAGTCACCAAGTCCCAATGGCGATCCATTCCGACAGTCAATCGGCGCTTCAAATTGCAGCTAATGACGTCTTTCACGAACGCACCAAGCACATTGAAGTCGACTGCCATTTCCTCCGTCATCATCTCAACAATCGAACCATTCTCCCAAGACACGTCTCTACTGTCAACCAACTCGCGGATATCTTCACCAAAGCACTCGGCAAAAAAGAGTTCGATCGGTTTCTCGACAAGTTGGGCATCCATGACATATATGCTCCAACTTGAGGGGGGTATTGGGATAGCTTATGTGTTCCGCAAATATGGGAAGTTGTTATACAAACAGATTTCGTTTCCTGTTTTGTAGCTTAGGTTAAAACGATAGCCTTCTGTATAAATTGCTCTGTACGTGCTCTATATATTCAAGCCATATTGTTTTCAGATCTGGGTTCCTGATACGTGACAAGGCTCATGTTCGATTCTAGCAGCAGAGAGTGAAGACCCAGGCGAAAAGAAGCACAGATTGGCGGAACTCGACGGAGAGAAGCTCGTCAAAGATTCTACCAGCAGAAGCAGAACTCGACGCCGACGAAGAGGAGAAGCTCGACTTCGATTCCAGCAAAAGAAGCAGAGCTCGACGCCGACGGAGAGGAGAAGTTCAGAACTCGACGGTGCTGGGCGGAGTTGGGCGGAGCTGAAACTCGAACTCGACAGAGGGAGACAACCCAGCAGACTTAGTTTGTGGCTGTAGAAGGAGATTCAAATGAAAGAGATATATTACCTCTAACCCTAATTAATTAACCTTAGTTTTAATTTATTTTGGTTTAATTGGATAACCGAACCCGATCGGTTATTTACCCGAACCGAATCGATCCGATCGGTTATAGAGGTATACCGTCCGATCGGTTATTTTAACGAAACCCGAACCGATCCGAAAATCGATTAATCGGTTCGGATATACCCGAACTCGATTAACCCGATCCGGATGCCCACCCCTAAGCCTCATCATATGTTCGGTTGGTAACGAATTTCGAACACTTAACATTAACATTAATAGATCTATTGGGATTTTAAATCATGTAGAAATTTAATATTTCTATTGGAAAATTTTCAAAGTTTAGTATTTAATATATATTAGTTTCCCTTGAACTAATAATTTTTACATATATTTTATCTTCTACATGTTACATCTACCAAATTATTATTTCCTGTTGATAAAAATACGTTACTTATGTCTTATATTAATAATCTAACCACAATAAAATCATACGTGTTACACTTACTTCGTGGGTTCTATGTACATTACATAATTTTCGATCATTGTTAACGATAATAGAGTGTGTGTATATATATAATTAAAAAACAGAAGAAACATACCTCCATATCTTCTCAAATATATATATATATATATATATAGGTTAATATATTGTTTATTATAATTCGAAAGTTTACCAGTTTTATCATCGGAAAATGGAAAAATTCATACAAATGTCTTTTTTCAAACGGAGACGCAAACTTGGATTGATCTATCTTTATCCTATTTATAAAAAAAATCTATCTTTATCCTATGATCTAGTCTAATCTTTTATCAAAATATTACACGAGAGATTTTAAATGATCGAATAAACAAGATTAAAGTTTTACATTTTAGAATTGATGGGAAGTAAAGAGTGGACAAAGCTTTGAATACCTATTGATTCTTCATATTACTTCATTAATTCTCTTGTGGATATGGTGTAGTATTTATTAGATTCAAGTCCCAAAAAAATAGGAAGGCAACAAAAAAGAAAAATCATTAACGGATAAAGTTTGTCTTAAATTTCGATTTAGTTCTGTAAAATTCAACCAATCCAAATAGAGTAACGTTCCAATCAAAAACAAATGTCATAAATTTATAAATTTTATAAAATCGAAAAATCAAATTTAAACTAGTTACTTACGTTAAGGGATATAAAAATTATAACAAAAACAAAAGTTTCCTTAAAAACAAAAAATTTTCAATAAAAATTGAACCTAAGTTAACAAGTTTAATATAAAAAATTTCGATATAATTTTTTCAAAAAGTAAATAGAAAATAATTAAATAAATAAACGAACGAACCCCCTAATTATATATGTAATAATATATCAAAGGACTTAATGTCTTTAAAGCAGGCGGACAAAAGGCCTTCGGAGACGGATTTGTTCCATTTATCGAAACATTTTTAAATTAGAAAATAAAAGAAATTAGTGAACCGTGCCGACCTGAACTTCGCCCCTCTCTTGTTCGGGGTTTTTATCCAAATAACCCACTTCGCATCTATTTCAGTCTACACGATCGAAAAAAAAAAATTTCAATTTTAACTCACTTTTCGGTTAAAAAAGTCCGAACGGATATAACTGATATACAAATAAAATAAGAGAGATGATTTTTTTGCCACCTTTTTTTAGAATCAATTGTAACTATATTTAGAATTAATTACGAAGTCGTAATAACGAAATTATTTTCGAACGGATAAATATCGTGTATTTATTAAGGGTAATTTCGTCTTTTCAAAGAAAAAAAATGTGTTATGTTTTTGGCGGTGTACACGTTAAATGGATGAGACCCAATTGCTTATTTTCCCCACTTGTTCTCTCGATCAAAAGAAACAAAAACTTTGAACGGAATTTTTTTTTTCACTTCGATTCGTTTTTTCTTGGCAGATTCCTCATTTTCTCAATCACTCTCCTTCTTCGGTTTCAATTCCACACCCGGTGAAAGCGATCCGATCTTCATCTCTCTTCCCACGTTGTTCTTTTGATTCCGTTTCGAGTTTTGCCTAGTATCTAGGGTTTACGAGGGTCGTCGAAGGAGGTCGGTTTATTTTCCCTTTTCTGATCGAAGGTAAGTGGTTTCGCTATCTCCATTGTTTACGTTTGTCGCTTCTGATTTGGGTTCGTTTTTTGGTGGAATCGCGAGGTACAATGATGGTGATTAGTGACGAAAAGTTTGTAAATTCATCGAGTGAACGTTTGTGATCCCTCTTGAAGTGATTAGTTGTTGATATGGGGCGTGAATTATGTTGATGAATCCTTATGTGTATAAGGATCGAAGTTCTTGGATTCATAGGATACTGTGCAAATGTTTTGGATTTTGGGAATAAATTCTGGTTCTAGAAAATCAACTCAGTTAGCTTCAACATTAGCTCTAGCTCTTCATGTGCATGAATTTGCATAGGCACTTAGGTGGTGGCTATATAATTTTGATTTCTCTTGTTTTTTGAAGCAATTCGATTATCCAAAAATTATCAGGTGAGTGATTTGAATAGCTTAGTTCTCCAGGGTCAGTTCGGTTTGATCCTTAGGATTTGAGTTTTTCTAGATAGGAATGTTATTTATGTATATGCTTTTTCATGTCTCGTATACAGGTTTGAGGCTTGGATGGTTCTGTAGTAGCTGCTGAATAATGACCTCTAGCACAGCAGGAGATCGAAGGTTCCTTTCTTTAATTATAAATCTAAACCTTGTTGTAAAATTCACCGTGTTTTCACACAATGTTAAGATTTTTTGTCAAACAACAACAGTATCATCTTTAAGACATTGTTTTTTATGTCTGGAATACTTCTTTATGTATTGTTTACTGGTTATACATCAGTGTTTTCGACATGGGCATATCATGCTTACTGCTGAAATATAGAAGCAATTTTTGTGGAGCTAGGCTATATATGTAGCATACAATGATTGCTACAAAGTCTGTGTTAGGGGCCACAGATGCAAGGAACTTAGGATTTGGTGCTTTTCTTTGTTTTTGTAAGCTTGTTTGGTTGATGGTCAGCCTAGACTTGATCTTTACTAGAATTCAAGTAGAATTTGAGACCGCTAGTCTCACTTTCTTCAGCGCTAGGATTCTGTAAGAGCACAAGCTAGTTTAATGCAGGAGAATAGCTGAAAAGTACGTGTAGAATATGTATTAACGCAACTTCTGTGAAAGCTGAATGTTATCTTGCCTTCAATAAAACTCAAATGTAAATGTTTTATTATTTAGGTCTTTTACTGCGTCTATTTCCTATGCTCACTTTTTCATTGATTTTTTTGGTTGCTGATTATGTCTTTAACGACAAAAAATCACCGCTCTTTACGATGGTCAGCCGATGGAGTACTGCAAGAAGAAGTGGCATGACTATACTAGGAAAGATTGCAGTCCCAAAACCCATTAATTTACCGAGCCAAAGGTATTTAATGAATACTTGGTCAAGTTAATTATGCTCGCTTTATTTTTTTGATGTGATATGCTCATCTGTTATTTAGTTAGTACTAATCACTTTTTTCTGCCATTTAAGGTTAGAAAATCAGGGTCTTGACCCAAATGTGGAAATTGTGCCTAAGTAAGTTTATACACCTCTAAATTTTTGGTCCCTCAAATCTTGTAGTTTGTTAATTTTCTCTTTCTGGCGGATAACTATAGGGGAACCCTTAGTTGGGGCAGCAAATCATCTCTGAACGCATGGGGTTCATCGCCATTGTCACCACGGAATGAAAGCGGTGGTTCTGCAAGTCATCTCAGTAATCGTTCTTCTTCTGGTGGAACTTGTACTCGACCATCAACTGCTGGTAGTGATAGAGCGCATGAATCGTCTGCTAATGCATGGAATTCAAACTCTCGGCCTTCATCAGCGTCTGGTGTGTTACCATCTAATCAGGTTGGGCCACTGCGTCCGAATAGTGCAGAGACGAGACCTGGTAGTTCGCAGTTATCCCGCTTTGCTGAAGCTGCGCCAGAGAATTCTGCAGTATGGGGCCAACATACGGCAGAGAAGTTGGTAAGGTTCTTCACTTCAGATAATTGTCTTTGTTTGTCAACACTGCCTAGCATATGCATTAACTATAATCTTGGCGTTTCCACTTTGTTTGTTGAGAGCTTAGTTTGAAAAGGCACGCCTAGACGCTTTATGCGTGCCTTGCATTCGCTCTCTCCGAGGCGTGAGATGGCCTGAGAGTAAAGCTGTGTCGGAGATGAAGACAAATGGATCAGATTAGATGAATAGGGACAAAAAAATCAACACAGTAAGAAAGAGAGGAATACGAAATGAGGGAGCGTGTAGAAAATTAAATTTTTAATGGTGTTAGATGAGTCACGTGAACATCATAGAAACCGTGACCCATGATATCAATAAGATATAAAACAAATATAAATAATAATATAATTTTGTTTAAAATATTTAGAATTTATTTTAAAACTTTTCAATAAAATATTTATGTAAAGTTTATTATTTTATTAATTTTTATAAATATTCAAATATTTAAATCAATTCTCATTTTTATAATTATTAATTTTTGCAAAATGATATATTATAAATATATATTTAATTTATTTTCATTTAATTTTTGTTACTTAATAATAAAAATTGTAATTTGGGATCAAGACGATGTTGTTGTTGTAATAATAAAAATTGTGATGATATGTCGATCTAGATTAGATATTTTAAAAAAAATTGATATTATTTTTTTTTCGGTTGTCTATTTTTATTTTTGCTGATCTTGAACATTGAATATTAAATGTTTTGCATTTAAATAATTTATAATATATATATATTTCATATATTTTTTTAATATATATTAACTAAAAGTTTTTTTATTTCAAAATGCCATATTTTGTGGACAATTTGATGCTTGAGATCGATCATTCTTCAAAAACTATAATATTTGCGATCGTCAATATGATTTTGTAAACCATAATCTAAAACTAGTAGCTGTGATTTGGCATAAAAAACATTAAATCAAATAGCAACTGTGTTTATGGATACCTCTTTTGATTAATTTTTGTTCTTTTTGTGTTTGAAATCTATCCTCCATTGTTTTTACTTGTTTTCTGCAGGGAGTTGATCCAGTAAAGAATTATGGGTTTTCTTTGACTTCTGGAGATTTTCCTTCACTAGGTGCTGAGAAAGAAAGTTCAGGAAAGAGCGCAGGACCACAAGGTATCATGCATTTAACCGTCAAAATTGTTGTTGCATTCTTTGTCAATGCCATCAGAGCGAACCACCGGAATTTTCCATAGAAACAAGGGAAAAAATATGTTTTCACCAGCATCTTACTGTAAGTTATCTTATTGCGCTGTTTGAGAGTTAGTTAACATCTCATTCACTTTTATAGTTAGCCGAAAATGTTGCGGTTTGGCTCGAATTAGCGTTTAGACCGTGGCTTGTACTTCTGTCTTGAAATTAGTCGGACCTATCTCTAGTAGTGCCTGTGCGAGTGTTGATAGGTTCATTTATTTCGATAACATTAACTAGGAGTTAATTCTTATAAACGCATCACTGTTCTGGGTTCATGCTTTGTTTTGTTTAAAGCAAATATCAAAAGGGTGGAGAATCCAAAAGGATTGTTCTTTAGGGCCGGGACAAGAATGCTTAAAAACTAAACATTTTGAGAGGATTGCTTTTCTGGCTTGGTGTTGGTTCACACTTCTTCGGTTCAACCTGTGCGGCACCAGTGGTGCTTAGATGTAATTTCTTAGGTCTTAGGATCACTTGGATTTTATATTGTGGATGGGATGAATTTTAGTTTTGTAAGTAGATTTGACTTGTTAGAGATGGTAGTTATGAACTATTTATTTGCAGATCATGGTCCACATGTTTGTCCTGGATCATCATTTGGAAGATCAACAACTGCAGAAGAGCAAGGTATAAATTCTCTACAAGGTTCTTGCTCTCAATTTTCTTTCTTGTCTTCATCAGAAGGGATGCAAGTGTACACATTTTAATTCAAAAGTTGATTATTTCCTTGTGATAAACTTTTCTGAGAGGGGCCTGGTCCTTTGTGCTTGTTTGTCTGGAAGCTTCTGAGGGATCATGTCTTTGCATTACCTGTCCATATTTCGTACACATTTTTTCGCCACATTCTCTAAGACCATATCCTGTTTACAGATGGCTTTCCTGCAGACGCTAATGTAAGGAGTGGAGAAGTCAATACGTGGAGAAGAGATCATCAACCGTATGGTGAAGATGGACCCAGGCATTTCATAGAGGAAAGGCAAATGGATACTCGTGGTCTTCAACCGTATCCTAATGCTAATTTTCCTTCTCCTCATCACTTTGACAGTTGGCGTGGCCCTCCAATGGGTAATCATCCAGGCGGTGTTTGGTACAGAGGGAGCCCCCCACCGTATGGACCCCCAGTTGGAGTTGGTCCTGGGGGCTTTCCGATGGACCCATTTCCATATTATCCTCAGGTTCCAGCTGCTCCTGGACACGGTACTGGTCCTAGGGGTGACCACTCTGCACATGGAGATATGTACACACCTCCAATGCCGGATTCTTATGTCCGTCCAGGGATGCCGATTAGACCCGGGTTTTACCCCGGTCCTGTACCCTATGAAGGCTACTATGGTCCTCCAATGGGGCACTACAACCCGCACAATCAGGATATGCCTTTTGTTGGGATGCCACTAGGTCCCTATGGTTATAACAAGCATTCGGGTCCAGGTGGATTTGGTCCGACTGGGAGGCCATTGGCGTCGGAACAGGTCGAACCTGATCACTCCCAAGAACGAGGACCATACAAGGTTCTTTTGAAGCCACAGGAGGGATGGTTAGGGAGCAGGCGGACAAAAGGCCTTCGGAGACGGATTTGTTCCATTTATCGAAACATTTTTAAATTAGAAAATAAAAGAAATTAGTGAACCGTGCCGACCTGAACTTCGCCCCTCTCTTGTTCGGGGTTTTTATCCAAATAACCCACTTCGCATCTATTTCAGTCTACACGATCGAAAAAAAAAAATTTCAATTTTAACTCACTTTTCGGTTAAAAAAGTCCGAACGGATATAACTGATATACAAATAAAATAAGAGAGATGATTTTTTTGCCACCTTTTTTTAGAATCAATTGTAACTATATTTAGAATTAATTACGAAGTCGTAATAACGAAGTTAAACAGAGTTCATCTTCAAACTGTGACAGGAAAGCAGAAGTCAGAAATGATAGAAATATGGAGTCGAGAAGAATATTTGTCAGTTCAGAGACTTCTTCGCAGACCTGGGAAGGTGGTTCTTTTGACACTGTCAAATCAAAGTTGCATGATGAACAAGTATTGCTTGAGGCTGGTGGTGATATTCAAACTAGCAAGGAAGAAAATGTTGCCCCTGGAGATCCCAGTTTGAGTAAAAAAATAGAGGGCTTAAATGCAAAAACCCGTACTGGTGATGGTCGGCAACATGCCTCCTCATCTGTCTCCAGTAGCGACGACGAGCAAGGGAGCAAACGGCGTACAATCAGCTCTGAAAGTTCGGTAAAAAAAGTTTCAACAAGAAATACTCGAACTGTTCAAGATAATGATAGCAAGGGCCGAGGCTTCTATGGAACGGGTGATCAAGCCGCAATTAGGAACCCTGAACAAGCAGCCATATCCAGGTCAGTTGTGATGGATCAATAGTACTTTGGTGGTTTCTGCTGTGCTATACGTTGGGAAAAATTTAATGTTTGTATGCACAGGAAACCTGCTCATGGGACTCAAGGCAAAGCGGATCATCAGAGCAAAGGAAGAGTGATCAATGAAGACAGTGATGGTTGGCGAAAGAAAGCTGCTGTTTCAGGCTCCTCCAGAGCAATATCATCTACAAACCCGGAGAACTTTGCAAAAGCCCATATGGGTGACCCGTTGAATACGGATTCCAAGCATAAGCCTGTGCCTGATCCTCTATGGAAGAAAGAGGGGGAGACTTTATCTACAGATTCAAGTGATAGCCAGGTAGAAACTTTCTTATGATTCTTGTTATTATTTTTTTCGTCTTATTTTTCCACTTTTCCCCTCTGGTTTGACCGAAAGTTTGACACATTATGTAATCAGCGTTTTAGGATGAGAGAGTTGGCCATGCAGCGTGCTCTACAGCGCCAGAAAGAGGAGGAAGAAAGAGCAAGAGATCAGCGGGCTAAGGCTCATTCAAAACTAGAAGAGTTGAATAGGCGCACCCAAGTAGAGGAAGATTCAGCTAAGAGCGTGGAAGCTGCATCTTGTGCAACCGAGGATCCTGAGTCTCTTTCAACTGCCCTTTTGCCATCAAGCTTCAATTTGGTAGCAGGCCATGCTGTGCAACCATTCCTTGAGGCAAAAACCACATTTGGAGATGAAATATATGAGGAGCCAACTGGGGAGATTAGAAAGAGTGATGTGCAAGAAGTAACAACTTTAACCGAGGATGTGATAAATGCAGATCCCATTCAAATGGATAATTTTTCACGTGTTCATGATGGTGGTGCCTTAAAGCAAAATCGTGTGGGTTATAAGCAGAAGCAGAATGTCGTTTTTAAGAAAAAAGTGGCTGGGAACTCTCATGCTACTGATACACGCGAGGCAGTTGTTGGTGTTCCATCTCCCGATGTTGTCAATGAAGGTGTACTAAGCTGTAACACAGATACGCTTGCAAGATCGAGCATGACAACTGAGTCAACCTACCCAAAAAGAAAAAATAATAGGAACGGTAAGAAAAAGCTTAGGGTTGAGGAGACAACAACAGATGGTAGTACTTCAGGACATGTGGGAGAAGAAACAAAATCTAAGGATGAATCAATTGAGACTGGTAAGGAAAAGGTTGCAGAAATGCAGTTGGGATCGGACTCAGTTCCATGTCAAATGGATTCAAAAGAGTCAGGTGATCCTGCTGAGTGTATCACTTCCTTGGCTAATGAGGGGGCAGGAGGCAGGGCAAAGAATCTGTGGAAATCTCAGCATTCAGGTAGGCCTCAAAGAAATTCACAGGGGAATAAGCTCGCTGAGAAGTTTCATGGCACCGATGCTGTTGTCTGGGCGCCTGTGCGCGCACAGCAGAAAGCTGATACCCCAGTTGAAGCAAACCAGAAATGTGTGGCTGAATCTGTTTCCTCTGCAAAGAGTGGGCAACAAGTTCAGAACAATTCTAAAAGCAAGAGAGTGGAGATGGAGAGATATGTACCGAAGCCCATAGCAAAAGAAATGGCTGAGCAAAGTGTCAGTGAAAAGGAAGTAGCTGCTCCAGAAACTCCAGAAAATGCCCAGAATGAAAATAGTGGTTCTGAAGGTACTGAAACTCTCCACCATTCCGATTCAGCCATGGAGAAATCTGGATCTGTTTCAGAGTCGAGGCATGGGAATGGTAGGCAGAACAAACATGGTAGAGTGCGTGGATCATGGCGCCCGCGCGGACCTGTTGGATCGACTAAAGCTTTGGAAGATGGGCAAATTGTAAATTCTGATCAGAATGTGCAAAGAACAGTGAATTATCATCAACCCACGAAGAAAGACATAGGTTTTGTCAGAGAGCAAACCACATCTCATGATGATGAATGGGGTGATGGCTGGAATATGATTCCTGAAAATCTGAACTCCACAGCGACTGCTCCTCAAGCTGTTGCTATTGGAAAGGATCAGATGACCATCCACAACATGCAGCAAACTTTCAGAGGCAACAAAGGTGGAGGAAGTAACTATGGTGACAACAAAAAAGCCAATCGTCGAGTTTCTAATAGAGGTTATGTGCAGCATTTGGGTTCTGGTGCAAGTCAACCAGATTCGCCGGGTGCTTCGAAAGAAAATCATGGTACCGGAGGAGATCAATCATCTTCTCAATGGCAACCGAAGAAGCAGACACCCATTTCCTCGGATCAAAAAGCAGACAAGTTCGGTGGATCTGAAAGTACAAGAGTTGAAGCTGGTAGAGCTAATGAAAAGGATACACCTGGTGATGGGCAACAAGGGTTCACTAGAGAATGGAGGACGACACCACCTGATAGACACGCTCGGTCTCAATCCCAAGCACCAACAAATAAAGATGTTCATTTAGAGCAAAACTCGAATTCAGGGTTCCCCAAGAACACAAACCAGTTTCGACATTACGGGAGGGGTCATGACTCCCGAGGAGATTGGGGTTCAGCGGCGCAAGATGATTTGCACCGTCAGAAGCCATTTTCAAGCAGGGATAGGCCGAGGCAGAATTCCCATTACAAGTACCAGCCTGTTGGTAATGCAGGCCAAGCGAAAGAGAGTTCTCAGACCTCGGGACCAAGATACAAGGAGAAAGTGCACGGCTACCAAAGGCATGGTGGAGAAAGGCTATATGAACAGCATAGAGGCAATGTTCGGAGAGACGAGTTATGATTGGTGGAGACAGCTTCTTTCTCGTTAGATTTTAAGCGCGGGTACGTCATTCCCGTTGCAATTTTTTCAGTTACTCTGATGAAGGACTCGATTTCAGAAGTACGTGTAACCGTCTGTTGGCTCCATTTGGTGGTTGCCCGTGTAACCCGAGCAGCAGAAAATATAACTTGCTTGGTGAGAGGTAATATTTTCCAAGTCTCTTAATTTGATAAATGCATTCTGGACTTGAGCCTTTTCGTGTGAGAGCAATTGTGTTTGGCAGTGGAAAAACTATCTGAGTCTTGCCTGTTTCTTTGATTCGAGTCTCTGTTGGCTTCTCTTTTTCCCTGGGCTTTGTGCAGTAAAAGCAACTCACACATGAAGAGTTGTGATTTATCTCACACTGGGAATTGTGTAGCATAGTGGAATACAATCTCCTTTGGGTTAATTTGCTTTAATTGTATGCTATTTTTTAAACCTTGTTTTGCTGATCAGAAGCTGATGATAAAAGCATGGCGAGAAAAGAAAATGTGATTTTTACTTGGGGTGGGGACTTCGATTTCTGGAATTTAGTTCCGATCCGAAACCGAACCGAATTAAACCGAATAACGTTCAGTTCTAATTTGGCACACTTTTTATGGAATCGAATGAACCATTTACGAACCGAACCGTATGAATATTGAACCAAAATTCGAATCTCACACTAATATATCTGTAAATATTATAGTTTGATATTTATTTGGTATTTATATAATGGTACTGTTCCGAATCGAATCGATACTAAAACCGAACAGAATCGAACCGTTTAATATTCGGTTTTAGTTTGGTACACTTTTTATAAAACCGAAAATACTGTTCCTGAACCGAATCGCTTGAATACCGAACTGAAATCCGAAACGTCCACCCCAAATTTGACAAATGGGTTTCATATCCATGAAAGGATATGGTTGAGCATCCTTTCTTTCTTGTTTTCACCATGTGAATTAACACTAGATATTGCTTTTGGTCGGTACATATTTCTTCTGAACTCTTTGGTTTAGTAATGACTGTTATGATTTTAGTTTGGATTAAAGGCATATAATAAAAAGTGTCCCAATTGAGTGCTCTACAGGTAAGTTAGAGGGATATCGTATGCTTGCAATATATAAAAAAATACATACAAAGAAAATAGGGATAGTCGTCTAAAGAAACATGAATTTTCAAAAGAAAAAAAATTGTTCGATAAGTTGGTAAATTTTGAAAATTCTAAAATAATATGTTCTATTTCGTATATAACTTTAATATTTATTTTTAAAATTAAAAATATTTTACAAGAGTTAAATATCTATATTTTTAAAATTTCTAGTAAAGACCCAATATATTTTAACACTTAATATTCCAAGTAGAATTCATCAATTATTTAAAAGTTCGTATATTTGCATATGAAAGTTTAAAATATTGATATATTTATAGAATATATATATGGGAGTTTTTGAATAAGTTTTTGTGTATTACTAGAATTTGTTTTTGCAAGAATAATAAATATAAACATACACACAAAATATTATTCCACCTTCAAATACTCTCTTTGATCTCGAGAGAATCAAAATTATAAAAGTACGAAAAACTTTTATATTATAGTCGTATTCGAAATATTTTGATTTAAAAAATTATCTATGATTCTTGTATTAAATTTATGTTTCCATTATTTGTAATTTGGATGTCATTTTTATAAGAGATATTTGTTATGTAAATTTTTTGTCTAGATTCGTTTTCTCAGCTGTTCTCATAGTAAATTTCAATTGGATTATTCCTTAAGTTTGGTCACGTTTCAATAAAATAATATGTAATTCTATTAGTTTTGTTTTAATTAATCAAAATGGAAGACTACATGATAGAGAAAGTAGGAGGTTTTATATCTAATTTATTTATTTTTTAAATAAAATTTATTAGTGATTAATTAAGGGCAGAAAAAAAGGAATTTTTTGCTTGCGTATTAAAAGACCACAGAACCGCCCCCGTCTCCAACGGCTAACATTCCTCTCTCGCTCTTGTTCTTTGCTCTGTCTACGACTCTTCTTGTTCTTGCTCTGGCTGGTCTGTTCCTGCTGCTCTTTTTCTTTGGTTCGAAGAAAAATCACGGAATGAAGAAGATTTCAAGTGTCCGAAGCAGAATCTCTGTCCTGGCGGTGTTGAAGAGACAAACGTCTTCGTCTCCTTCTCTTTCTTCTAGGGTTCCCAATGAACCAGAAAACTCCGCGGGTAACAATGGCATCAAGATCTTAGCAATGTCGCACGATTCGCTCAATAAACTCACCGGCTGCGTGGACGACATGAACGAAGATGTCGGAAAGCTCCTCTTATCTTCCGAAAGAGATCTTCCGAAGAACCCTAATCTTTTCAACCTCATCAGCGACTTCTTTAAGACAAACACCGAATTGTCCGTTTTATGCGAGGCTCTGAAAAAATGTCTGGAGAAAGCTCATCGTGGAGAAACCCTAGTTCTGGGAGATTTGTCCGATTTAATGGAGGAACAAAGAGTGTCTGGAGGAGAAGGGAGTTTCTCGAAGACTCTCCAGAATCAGAGGAGCTTCAAAAAATTTTCCGCCGACGACCCTTTCGCCGGAGATTTCACCAGACTTTTCAAGAACTGCCACGGCGATCTCGTCAAGATGATCGAGAAACTGAATCAGACGACGAAGAAGCTTAACAGAAAACTCCGGAGGGTTTCGATAGCACTGTTAATTGCGGCGGTTGCCACCGTGGTCATCTCCGCCGTTGTGATTGGTGTAACGGTGGCTCCACCGGTGTTGGCGGCATCGGGAGCGGCCGTGTCGTTCGTGCCGATGGGATCTCTGGGTCTGTTCATTTCATCGATGTGGCAGAAATCGAGGAATGTTCTGAAACGCCAAAAAGCGGCGATTAGTTCGATGGAACGAGGGACATGCCTCGCATTGAGTGAAGTCGCGAAAATCACCGTTTTGGTGAATCAGTTGGAGGATGTGGTGAAATCAATGGAGGAGACGATGGAGACAGCGGCGGAGAAGAACTCGCTGCTGAAATCGGCAATGAAAGAGGTGGAGAAGGAGAGTTCCTCACGTACAAAAGCGCGATCAGCGTTCTGCAACACGAAGCCGGGTGCGATGAGGATGCGCATTTGAGTCGCGACGTTGCTCGCGAGAAGATAACCAAATATTTGTCATGAAGCTTTTTTGTATCGAATGGGCAAATGGCGGTTTCTGCTGAGAATCTGTGCCTCTCTCTTCATCTCGCTCCTCCTTCTCTGCCAATTTCTTCACTCGGATCCGACCCAAGGCCCGTTCTTTTTTTGTGGGTAGACCCGGAAGCGGTTCTCTTGTAATGGGAAGAGATTTCAACTGGGTTTTGGTTGGATTGTGAGAAAATTCTGGAAACAGAGAGAGTTTTGTAATCTGGCTTCTGTGTCTGCTATGAATAGAAGCAGAGGATGTAAATGATAAACATGAAAAGTTTGGCTGCTTTTGAATCATTGGCCATAAGACATCACCCATCTTATGTTGCCTTGCCTCAGGGTTCTTGTGTATTTTTCAATTACTGGAAGTCCAAGCTTCTTAGAATGGAATAGCATAGGAAGTTTTGCTTGAAGCGGCAAGGGTAAAGTCTTTCCTTCAGAAAGATTTCGATAGATAGAAAATTGTTTGAAAAGTTTGTTGGGGTTTTTACCGTGAATCACGAGAGAACCCCTTATTTGTGTGAGCAGGTTAGGATGACAATATTTAATAAAAACGGAAATTTAAACGAGACAACCGATTTAACGTGGAAAACCTCCTCGGTGTGAGGAGTAAAAACCACGGGACCGTAGTCCACCCAAAAATCCACTATAATCTCAAATTTCCGGGTTACAACGTCCACACTTCAGTCTCCAATAGACAAGAGATACAACCGAGACTTCAGAATATTAATCCAATATTCAATCTCAATAAACCCGAAAGAACAACCTGTAACTTAGGCAGCAAGCTAACCCCGTAACTTATGATTCCGGCAACCAAATTCCAATTTCTCCGTAGAAATCAAAAGCTCGGAGGGTCTAGAATAAGTATACCGATTTTCAGCTCAAATGAAGACGAGATGACCATCCGAATCTCCAAATCACTTGGACATGTGCTGCTGGAAACTCCAGTGACGAACAGCTTCGGTAAAAACTCCGTTTCTCCGATTCTGATCGTTAGAATCAAAATCCCACCGGATAAAATCTAGAACAATGAGTGTAGAAGCTCTCCTCCAAAATTCAGATCGATCGGACAAGAAATGAATATCCGATCGAAGACTTGATCACAGCTGCACAAACTGTTTTCTTCACTCTTTCTCCCCACTCTTTCTTTCTTCCTCTCTTTTCTCTTGCTTGGATTTCTTGTGTTTGTGATGATCTTCCCTGCATCTTGAGCTCCCTATTTATAGGGAAGAAAAGCTTCAAATTAATGATGAAAAAAAACATCATCATTTTATCCACTTTGAAGCCATGTTCAAGAACAACTCATCCATGTCCAAGAACACTTCACCCATGTTCATACAAGGTGTACACAACTCATACACATGGGAGGAAAACCCCACAATTCTCCCCCTCTTCCGACTATGTGGAAGAGATTGCCATCCCGGCAATCTTGCAACAAACATCAAGTTTTCCTCTCGGTAACGCCTTTGTCATCATATCAGCTCCATTATCATCCGTGTGAACTTTTTCAAGTTCAACCTCCTTCGAATTTATGACATCTGGTATCCAATGATATCTAACATCAATGTGCTTCGATCTTGAATGAAACGTCTGATTCTTTCCAAGATGAATAGCGCTCTAACTGTCACAAAACAAGATGTACCTATCTTGTTTATAACCAAGCTGCTCAAGAAATCTCTTCATCCACAACAACTCCTTACAAGCTTCAGTTGTGGCAATGAACTCAGCTTCAGTGGTAGAAAGTGCAACGCATTTCTGCAACTTTGATTGCCATGACACAGCTCCGCCCGCAAAGGTTATCAAGTAACCCGAAGTAGATTTCCTTGAATCTGCATCTCCCGCCATATCTGAATCTGTGTAACCAACCAATAAAGGTTTGTCACCTCCAAACATAAGTCTGAAACTGGAAGTTCCTTGAAGATATCTCAGAATCCACTTTAATGCATTCCAATGTTCTCTTCCTGGATTAGAAAGAAACCGACTGATAATCCCAACGGCGTGAGCAATATCTGGTCTCGTACAAACCATAGCATACATCAAACTCCCTAATGCAGAGGCGTATGGAACTCGTCTCATGTCCTCCATCTCTGAATCTGTACTCGGACTCTGCTGACTGCTCAATCTAAAGTGTGATGCAAGAGGTGAGCTCACAACTTTAGATTTCTCCATATGAAACCGTTGAAGTACTTTCTCAATGTACTTCTCCTGTGACAGATATAACTGCTTGTTACTTCTGTCCCGAACAATTCTTATCCCAAGAATTTGTTCGCTAGACCAAATCCTTCATAGCAAAGAACCGACCAAGTTATTTCTTCAACTCCATTATCCTCTCCATGTTCTTGCCCACAATCAACATATCGTCCACGTAGAGCAGCAAGATGATAAAATCATCATCAGAAAATTTCTGCACAAACACGCAATGATCGGATGTCGTCTTCTTATAGCCATGCTCCCCCATAACTGATTCAAACTTCTTGTACCATTGCCTCGGTGCTTGCTTCAATCCGTAAAGACTTTTCTTCAACCGACAAACATAATCATCTTTGCCCTTCTCAACAAAGCCTTCAGATTGTACCATGTAAATCTCTTCCTTCAAATCACCATGAAGAAAATCCGTCTTCACATCCATTTGCTCAACCTCCAAGTCAAGACTAGTTGCCAATCCCAAAACAACACGTATGGATGACATCTTCACAACCGGTGAAAAGATCTCATCAAAATCAACACCTTTCTTCTGACTGAAACCTTTTACCACCAGTCTAGCCTTGTACCGCGGATGCAGACTGTGCTCTTCATGCTTAACCCTGAACACCCATTTGTTAAGCAATGCTCGTTTACCCTCTGGTAGCTTCACCAACTCGAACGTTTGATTCTTGTATAAAGAATCCATCTCGTCATTCATGACCTTCATCCATTCGTCCTTGTGTTCATCTCCGAGAGCCTCATCAAAATTCTCTGGTTCTCCCTCTTCAGTAAGTAATACATACTCACTAGGGTTATACTTCGTTGATGGTCTCCGAGCTCTCTCAGACCTTCTCAACATTGGTGAGTCTTCGGTAGTTGGCAACTCAACCCGATGGTCTTCACCACTACCGTCATCAGTCTGTACGGGAGCATCTGTACCAGGTTTATCACCTTGAACCTCACCTTCAGTAGAATCCTCAACTGTCGTTCGAGGAATCATCTCTGAGTCGATCAAACCACTGCTATTCTGAGTTGGATTTTTGCACTTCTGAATATCCCGAATAGTTTGATCCTCCATGAACACAGCGTCTCTGCTTCTGACGAGCTTTTTCTCAACTGGATCATAGAATCTGTATCCCATTTCATCCAGACCGTATCCGATGAACATACACTGCCTCGACTTCGCATCCAACTTCGACCTCTCATCCTTAGGAATATGAACAAACGCTTTACACCCAAAAACCTTCAAATGACGGTAAGAAACATCCTTACCAGTCCAAACCTTCTCCGGAACATCACCATGTAACGGAGCACTAGGTGACAGGTTCAATACATGAACCACGGTGTTCAAAGCTTCTCCCCAAAAGGAATTCGGCAAGCCTGATTGAGAAATCAGACAACGAACTCTCTCCATGATCGTCCTGTTCATCCTCTCTGCCAACCCATTCAACTGTGGTGTCTTCGGCGGCGTCTTCTCATGTCTAATGCCTTGTTCACGACTATAGGCATCAAACGGTCCAGAGTATTCACCTCCATTATCGCTTCGGATACACTTCAACTTCTTTCCAGTCTGTCTCTCCACCAAGACCTGAAACTGCTTAAAAATGCCCAGAACTTGATCCTTAGTCCTCATCATATACACCCACAATTTTCTTGAATGATCATCGATGAATGTGACGAAATATGATGCACCACCCATTTATCTCGTCTTCAATGGACCACACACATCCGAGTGCACCAAATCGAGAATCTCCGATTTTCTCGAAGGTGTAGAAGACTTAAACGCAACTTTGTTATGTTTTCCCGCAAAACAGTGATCACATTTCTTCAGATGTAATCCCGAGACTCCTTGTAGAACCTCCTTCTTCGCCAGTACAGACATTCCTTTCTCACTCATATGACCAAGTCTCTTGTGCCACAACTCAATAGCATCTTCACTCTCTAAGGCATTAATGATATCCTTAGAAAGCTTAGCGTGCATTAAGTAGAGTGACGAAGACTTCGTCCCACGAGCCACAACCATGGCGCCTCTAGTAAGCTTCCACTGACTTCCACTGAATGTACTGCAGAAACCCTCATCATCAAGTCTTCCCGCTGAGATCAAGTTTAGACGAACATCTGGAACATGCTTAACATCCTTAAGCACAAGTCTAGTACCAAGACTAGTCTCCAAGCAGACATCTCCAATGCCAACGACTTGAGCTGATCCATCATTACCCATCTTGACGGAACCAAAGTTACCCGGAGTATAGGTTGTTGGTTTAGTGCTCTATGATGTACTGATTATGAGCTTTGTTCAGATACATTCGATGTATTGATACTTTCTATGTGGTTTTTTTATGAGAGGTACAAATCCCGTCTTGACTATCTACAATCCAGTACATGATTCGTTTCGTACCTGATATACGCCTTTATAGTCCTCCTGTTACGCAGGACGTTTGACGTAATCAAAGCACGCAACTCCTCATGTTGGATTCCGTAGATATCTCAGGTCTTAGGATCCAATCATGGAACCGTCATATGAGATTCAAGTCATGACGCTAGTCCATGTGACAATCTCATGTGGGTCAATCCAGTATTCCGTTCTCCAACGAATACCTATGATCGTGATCGTATCCAATACCTATGATCATCTATGTGATCATCAATCACACATCATACTAGTCTTATTATGTCATCATTCCCATAATGACACAAGACTAGGGAGTTAAGTATCATTCATAATGATACATGGATTTCATAACAGATCTAGCATGCAAGAACATGTAATGAATAAAATACTCTCATAAAAACACATAGAAAGTATCAATACATCAAATGTATCTAAATAAAGCTCATAAACAGTACATCATAGAGCACCAAACCAACAATCTCCCACTTGCTCTAATCATGAACTGCTAAACATCTAATGCCCATATCCCTAACATGACCCTCATGCTTCGACGAAGGGAGAGGCTTCGTCAACGGATCGGCAATGTTGGTTATACTGCTATGTCGAATGAGCCTACAGGGTCACACACGCAGGGAAGGACAAAAACACGAGAGAAAACGACGAAAAACCGAGTTGGACGGGTCAAGACCCGACGGTCCGGATGCGTGGTCCGTCCGTTCTGGGAAGCAGAACGGACGGTCCACGACAACACGCA